GTTAGTCATTATCAGAGTGTACTTCATAGATTCATGGCCCTTCAACTATTCATAGTTGATAGAGTACTATTTGGAATAGTATTACTATTCATAGTAATGGAATCCACTAAAGTACTCAGATTTCCAGTACTTCAAGCCATTTTGTAAGGTGCAGGAAAAAAAGGCCCTAAACGGATATAACTGGGCTTATCATGAGATATACTCTCTGGTAAAAAAACATAACTATGGAAAAACACAATGTTTACTGGGTAAATCAATTATATATGGGCCATTTTCCAAAGCTATGTTAGTTTACCAGAGGGTAACTTTTCTAACCAACTAGTTATAGGAGTTATGTCATTCCATCCTTAGGCCCTGGTTTTGTGTGGCCTCTTCACTGTGGTTGGAAACGGATCCAATCACATTTCTGCCGGAAAATCCCGGTTATAAGTCAGTGGTAACACCATAAATTGGAATGATACCTTAATGATAACCCCATTTCAAACCATGGGATACCAATTATAGATTATAGATACTACTAATACTATAGATACCATTAACATCTATTAACCTGGTTGGTGGTTTCAACCTACCCCTCTGAAAAATCATGGACTTCCTCAGTTGGGATGATGAAATTCCCAGCCACCAACCAGTCATTTTCCCATGGTTTTTCCTATGGTTTTCCTATGCTTTTCCCTCGGTTCCGTTAACATTTTTTTGGGTGTTTTTCAGCATTTCCATATTGATCCACAAACTTGATATGGCATCTGATATGGAAAACACTGAGTTGATAGTTCTATTGCTATACAGTGGCTATACATCATGGATTGATCATTGGATGAGTAGTTTACATCTTGATTGGGAACACGAATAAATAGGTTACTGTAATAGATAAAACTGGGTGGATTGATGCTTCGACGAATATATAGTTGAATCTTGATAATAGATCCGTGAAAGATGGCAAACCATGTTTTAATCGGAGAACATATTGTTTAAAGTTGGGAACACCATTGTTGTTGTTTTTAATGATCCAGGTGGGCAAAATAAACTTCGCTTCATGAATAACTGGACCAAAACAGTTTATAACTTATAACTAGGTTTACAACTAGGCTTGCAGCTAGGCTAAGTGTTGGGTTTATGGTAAAGACATCTAGAGGTAGTAGGGTTTCAAAACCAATTTCTTTCACCGGCTTGCTCCCTGGCCACCGAAATAGAACAAGAGGCCTGTTTGGCTTTGAAACCATCATCAAGTACCAAGTTGTCTCCCACGTATTGCGAGTGACAGAGATAGGGATTGTCCCAGACTCCCAGACCGAAACCACTGGTTTTAAGGTACCAATGGCATGTGTCTCCAAAACGGCAACTTTATATTAGGGATGATGATGACAAACCATCAATTTCGGGCGTACCCTGTTTTCAGACAAACCCTCAGCCAGGCTCAAAAAAAAACAATGATACAGTGTGGAAAATATTAGTCAATGGGAAGGATTATTCCCATATATTATGGAAAATAAAAAATGTTCCAAACCACCAACCAGCAATGATAGGATGTGAACAACCACCCCCGACTTGAAAGAGACAAAAAAGTCATTCACGAGAAAACACTTCCCTTCGCATCTTTCATTTGCAAAAACATTTGACCATTCTACACTTATGGCCCAACTAACAGTTATAAATGGAATCATAACTCCTTGAACTAAGGTAGTTATATTATCACCAGCCCATTTATAACTGTTAAAGCTCATACCCTCTGGTAACTTGTTACATAGCTATTGAAAATGGTCCATAGAAATAGTTGATTTCCCTATAAAATTATTTTCCTGTTCGCAACATGTAACAGTTTACCAGAGGGTATATCACCATTAATCACCATAAATTATCATAAATTATCATTATTAACCACTATTAATATATTATCACAAGCCCCTTTTATAACTGTTAGTTGGGTCATAACTCTAGGGGCTCCTGAATAGAAATTCGCGGTGTCCAAGGAACACAGAGGGCTCGTGGGATCTTGGAGTCATCACATCATCCACAGAAAAGCTGTCTCGCTCATGCTTTGGTGACCTTGGCGATCTGAGCCGTCAGGCGACTCTTTTTTCCACGGTTTTTTGGAGAGTGAAACAAAAAGTCTGGGTCCAGAACCAGGAGATACCCTCTGAGAATTGGACATAGCTATAGAACATCAGCATGTTTAATAGGCAAAACATCTGTACACCAGCCATTTCCCATCATTATTCATCATTTTCCGAAAACTGTAACAAACTGCCGGAAAGTACCATTTATTTCACGGGTCCGGAAAATTGGGGGTACCACAGGGGGCCCTCATCATTTGCTGATGAACCATTACAGTAATTAGTCATATTGCTACATTGGCGCTTATTGTTGAAAAGGATTACCCTCTGGCTATTTAGCATAGCCATGGAAAATGGCCAATGGCCTATTTATAGATGGTTTACCGTTCTTAATAGCATGGGGTTTTTCCAGTTCGCTATGTAACAAATAACCAGAGGGTAATATTGACTGATATCCCCCACGTTGCTTGCTATTGGTTGCTACGACAGTTTTTTATCGGTGAAATCCAGAGTTCTGGGAAGAGAACTGGTTACCGAGACAGTCAGGCCACATCTGTGAGCCAGTCACGACCTCGAAATTGGTGAGCACTGCAAACATTTTTATCCCAATTATTGATGATCAGGGAAAGCTGAACTGACCCCCTTCCCACCTACCCCTTTCATCATAATGGGGGCACCAAGAAACCACACAAATATACATTTGATCTGTCTAGTTGTGTTCCCAATTCTGGCTGCATCAGGTAGATGTGTGCATACTGCTATGTTTAAGGTGGTCGGTCCAGAAAACCGTATTTTCCCAGTCAGTTTGGCTGACCCCCTTCATCATAAGGGCTCATAACCACTGATAAGGGGTACCACGGGGTAGTAGCACAGGACTGCTTTGGTTATGAATATCTATGAAGACTTATGAGTTGGAAAAACTGGTCTTTTCATTGGAAAAGCTTGTTTGGTTCATTGTGCTGAATGAAACCCCAAAAGTGCTTAGTGAGGGGTTCTGAAGGGTCATGAGGTGCTATGAGTGTAACAGTTTTCACAGCATTTCAGCCTAAGTTGGCTGTGTCTGAAACTAGTGTAACCCTCAACCCAATGGTTAATGATCATTATCCCTATTAAATGGCTATTTCATTGGGAATATACCCTATTTTCAGACAAACCCAGTTGAAGGGGGTATGTCCCAAGGGGGTCGGTCCAACTCCCTCTGAGATGATGCCAGCTCCATTTCAGTTGGTTAAAACATGTTAAAACCCGACGTTCCGACGTGCGGTTTGAAGCGTATCATTTCCTATCCCCGTTCCAAACAACTCTTCAAATTGAAATAGACAGTGAATCACTATCTGGGTAAATCATAATATTTCACTAACCTGAATCTTGCGGCCATTTTGGGGATGATTTCCCTATACATTCACCATGATTCCAGGGCTCGCAATTTTCCAGTTTGCTATCTTAAATAACCAGAGGGTAATGTCTATCAAATGGAAGAAATCCCAATTTCAGGACCAATTTATGTGCTCCATGCATGGTAGTATATTTATTTGCCAACATGGCCCCCAAAAAAATCGCTGAAAAATAGGAACACCCACTACCATGGAGCCCATGGGAATGATCCAAGAACATAACATATAGTGGTTACTTAAAAACCAACTATGGTTACTAAACCAAAGTGAACTAGTTAACTATATAGTAACCAATGTAACTATAGAATACTATAGATATAAAGTAGAAAAAACATCTGGGTAAATTATAACGACCGAACCCTGAAACAGCAGAAGGATGGATGCTTGGCTCTTCTCGTTGCTCCCCTTACCCTTGGTCTCAGACTTGCGCTTGACCAGAAGAACTCCAGGACTTTTGAATGTAAAGGAGCAAATTGGATCAAGAAGGCTGGAGGTAAATCTTCCAAAGCTTCGTGGCTGTAGGTTTCTCCAACATCATCATGAAAAGCGATTGAGTTTCCCTCCAGGTGATTGTATTCATTGAACAATACATGGAACGTACCAAATTTTAACCGATGAGGCAAAGCGGCGTCCTGTGGAAACAAGTCGGCATGCACCATGTTCTTTATCAAACAATTTTCAAACAATTGGCCATGAATATGAGCATTGGCTGCCCTTGGGCACGTGGCTCTTTTCCACTTGCAATCACCTCCAAAGCTGATCCTGCAATCGCAATTGCAGCCATTGAGAGTTGCCTGGCGATAGTATCGGGCCGCCTTCCTGGTCCCTACAACATCGTGAATGTGGTCGGAGACCTGACACGTGTGCCCATTGTTTGCTTCCCAATTCCGCTGGTCCTGAAAATGTTGAACGAAACCTCGATCATTCTAAGATCATTGACGGCTTGGATTCCACGAACAAAAGTCAGGAAGCAAGGCTTATCTTTGAATATGCTTGAAGCATCATCCATTAAAAACCTCCATTTCTAATGGATTTTCCAGTTCGCTATGTTAAATAACCAGATTGTAATTTAAAATTAGGAAATTTACCATATTTGGTGGTGTATCCAATATATTTGGGGAACTTACATGGGGGCACCACCACATAAATTATCACAAGTGTAGCTTTATCAGCAGGGCTAGCACTCACGAAGTTGCTAAACGGTGTTCAGTAGCAGTCGCTCACGAAGTCGCTGCTTTTTCCAGAGCCATTGCGCAAGTAGATCGATCCCACCCACCTGGCGAAGGGGCATTTGACCCGGGGTGGCCACAAATATATATATACATGGCAGGCGAAGCGAGGCAGGTGGCTTCAGTGAATTGCACATGAAACTGACACGGGCAGTTGTTTAAAGTGCCGTTTGTCAGTGTGAGAAAAAAAAAACTTGCTCCCTCAAACGTTCTTCGGCATCATCATGGTCAGCGGCCTGTGAAGGCTCTATCAGTCACCATCGTGCTGTCTCTAGGGCAGCAGTACTCACAGTGGTCATGTTCTTGGACCAAGTGAGTTCTATTCAGGGTGATGATTGGGCACTCAGGGTCGATGTGCCACAGCGAACCATCCAGCGTCGGCTGCACCGGACTGTGTCACCAAGCGGGCATGGAGCTTGGTGGTTGGCTATCAGGCTTCGAAGTCTATCGGTTCTTGCTTGCAGAAACCGAATTGCTTCGATTTGAGAGGCCAGCATGATCGCCATCACGTTGGCGTTGCGTCTTGTTGCTTCCAGTTCAATTGCGACCTCATTGCGGCGGCCAGCCACGTCATAGCATTGACACGGAAGTCGGCGAATCAAATCCGCCTCCAAAATGGCGAAAAACCAAATTCCGCTCTGTCCATGTTCATGGTCCGGAGCAGCATGCATTGCTGAGGTTGTAGGCAACCAGGTCAGCGCCGCGATGACATACTTTATCACCTTGGCATTCTTTGGGGTTGCTACGTAGGCCTCGACAGGCTCATAGGGCTCGACATGAACGTCGTCATACGCAGGTTCATAGGTCTCTTCATTCATGTCTTCATCTTCCATCGTGTAGAGCTCGGCAGGGTCCTCTGGGATCTGCAGCTCACAGTTTCCATCATCCATGCGTTCATGTTGAGGTTGTGATGTAGGTGAAGGTGAGGTGAGAGGTTGAAAGTGAGGTTGTTGTTGATTGGATTCCTTCCCTTTCGCAAACTCATTGCGGCTTGCTTCTCTTTCTGAAGCATCCTTGCGTTTCGCGCTAGTGTAGTTTGGGTCCCACACCAGCTTCTGTCGATGATGTCGAAGTCTGTCGGCCAGCAAAGTTCTGGTAGAACTCTTTGTCAATCCATCAGCGAACTGCTTTTCGCTGCTCATCCATTTCAAAACACCACCCAAAGCTTGTAGTTGTTCTTTTCCAACTCGTATCTCCAGGGACGTCCTTTTGTCGACGGACGAAGAGCCAGTCAAACCTTCTTTGTTGTAGCTGTCGTAGAGGGCTTTCGCATCAGTGATCATGACGGGCTCAAGGTCAGATCGTTGGTCAAGGCATTCTTTCAGCTTTGAAGGAAGGCTGAAAAGGCAAATCCAGTATCGGCATATGAATTCCACCATATCAGCAGCTTGGCCAAACGCTTGGGCTTCAGCGCTCAGACTTGATCTCGCCACTCTGGGGAGCTTGAAGCTGCGCCACTCAATCAAGTGGTAAGAGGTCTCCTCCTCAAAGATCTTCTTGGGCGCGACGAAGATCAGGTAGCCACCTTGAGAAGTGGCATCTTCTCGGACTCCATGGGCAGCATCAAACATCGCACAGAGCCTCAGGTCGGCAAGCGAGTCAATCTCCAAGGGCTCGTAGGTGAGCTTGACATCGGAATTTTGCTTTGCAAAACGCAAAAGTTGGTTGGCTTCAATCACAGCACGTAGTTTTCCAGTTTTCTGCTGGCCACTGATGAGGCTTGCAGAGCATTGTAGGTGCGGTGCAGTCTGCACGGCAGGCCATTGCAAGGAGCCAAGAAGTGCTCTGAGTTGTGACCTGTCGTGGTCATTCATTTCATTTTCGGCCACGCGGCCTTTGTGTATGGTCACGGGCTTGACCTTCTGGATGTAGTCATGTTGGTTGACCTTCCAGCAGTGGTCATGCCTTTCAAGTTTCACACCACAGTACTCCAGGGTCTTCTCATCAGTCTCAAAAGTCCTGAAGTCAAAGGCTTTCTTCAGGGCAGTTTCGGCATCCACATAGGTTTTGGAGTTCGGGTCCCCAGCTGCAAGCATGTCATCAACGTGAAGACACAACATCCCCACGAGTGTTGGGCTTGACTCCTTCTTGAAGTCATAGAGGCAAAAGCAGCAAGGGTCAAGCGCATGTTGTTGCCATCCAAGGCTTTTCAGTCGGCGGACTGCTTCCAAAAACCATCTCCTCGGAGCATCAAGTTGGCCATAAACTGGCTTTCGTAAAAACATTCTTGTGTTGGCGGTGGCTCCAAGGATCTGCAAGGCTTCGTTGGGAAGCTTCAGCCATAGTTTTCGTTCTTGAGGTAGGCCTTGAAGGAAGGCAGTGCTAACATCTGCAGACCAAGCTCGCCATCGTAAGTTGGCGGAAACAGAGAGCAGCAGGGATCTTGAAAGTCGGCTGGTGGTTGGTGACGCTGTCTCCAAGTTGCCCATGAGCGCCTCCACATCATTGAAACCACGCACAACAAGTCGTGCTTTTGCACGAGGGCTACCATCAGCATTGCGACTCCATTTCAAAAGAATCCTGCTTGTAAGTGTTCTCTCTGGTGTGGCTTCTTCTGCAGTGCTAACTCCCAAACGCCACATTCAAAAAAACTGCGAAGTTCTTTCACCTTCGCTTGGTGGAACATTTCTCTTTCAGTTTGGTTCAAGTACTTTTCCACCACTTCGCCTTTGTTCTTGGCCATCTTGGTGACATCTCGACGTTGTTGTCGTTGATGTTGGTTCTTGAGGCCTTGGGCGACCTTCTTTGCATTCTGAACGTGGTAGCAGTGGTTGCTATCGCTGGAAAACATGTTGAGCTCTTTTCTGGTTTCAGCATTGATTTGAAAAACTGTACCCTTCCATGTTGATGGCAGTTGATGCTGTCGCAGGTTTTTGTCATGCTGCTGAGGATTTCGGAAATCATCAGTGAAGGTCGTGGCACTGCCGTCACGGTCAAAGTGAATGGTGACCCTGACGTTGTCAAGCTTGTCAAGTGGAACTGGGATGTCTGAGCTGCCAGCAGGGTCAAAGAGAGTGCGCCGTTGGTGGCAGTGATGTCGAAGGAGGCATCCAGCTTTCAGCTCCCAGAAATCACGTACTCGGGCACCTTCACGAAGCTCAAAGTAGCCAGTCCCAGGCTTGAAGCACCAGTCACCAGGCAGTGAATCTTGTTCCATGTCCTCCACATTGAAAGCCATGTTGGCAGCAGCATCATCATCGCCACGTGCAGGACGATCATATGGAGTAGCTCCATGAGAGCTTTGAAATTGTGACCTGCGGGGACCAAAAGACAAAGTTTCTTGGCGGTCAACTCGTGCTCGTCGTTGCTCAAAAATCTCTTGTTGTGGTACTTGAAATCTCTCAGCAGTTGCAGGGTCTAAAACTTGACCAGCTGCTGGTGTTGGCGGAAAAACTTCTGCTGAGGGCTCCACTTCATCAGTGTTGCTGATGGGCAACGTTGGAGGTAGAGGAGGTTCATCAGCCATTGGAGCTGTTGGAGCATCTGGTGGTCCCATAAGTCCAGGGGGCGGAGAAAGTCCATCATGTTGTCCCAAAAGTCCAGGGGACGAAGGTGATTCTTCAGGCAGTCCCATAAATCCAGGGGACGGGTGATGACCATCATCAGGAGGTTGATCATCATCACCGGGAACATCATCAGCAATTGATGGCTCGTAGTCATCATCACCTTCAGCTCCATCTTGAAGTTCAGCAAGTCGACGACGCTTGGCCTCAGGCACATAGTCATCGGCCTCGTGGTCTGAAATCATCTCTTCATCTTCATTGATGTCGTCAATGTGTTGGCGATTCAGGCGGTTCAAGTCCAGGAACCTTGTCACGCCACGAGACTTGACTTGTCGTAAAACTTCTTTGGCTTCAAGCAGATTGTCCACCACGTTGTTGGTGATCTGGCGGAAATCAGGGCGGCAGTGGTGAGGAGCACAACGCAAAAGTTGGGTCTTGTGGCAAATCCAGTAGGTTGAAGCGTTGCCTTGCTCATCGTCCTCAACCATGAGAACCTTTGCTGGTCCGCGCCATCTGATCTTGACAAGTAAAAACGCCAGTAAAACATAGTCCGTGCCATCTGTTGAGCATCACGCCAGTAAAAACATGTCTGACCAACAGCAAGTCGTATGTTGGCGCCGGCATATCTTCTGAGAAGGGCACGGCGAAGTCGATGGTCAGTATCAGCTTGTTGAAGGGCTGACTTGGCTGCATTGCGACGCATCAAAGCATCTTCAAAGGAATGGCCTCCGGCTAAGTGCACAGGGGTGATCTGGTCAGAAGTCAAAAGTCCATTGACCTGTGGTTGATACCCCAGGAGCCATTGTGAAGGGCTGTAGCCGGAAACTGTGGGTTGAGCATTTTGTTGCGGCACTATGTAGGTCAAGGCAGATCTGATTCCATCAGCTCCATGAAGTTGTAGATCTTGCATGTAGACCTCAACGCTCTTTCGTAGAACTGCATGTCGCCGTTCCACAAGACTCAGTCGTGTGTGAGCTTCTCTTGGAGCAACATCATGACGGATCGAGTGCTCATCAGTCCACAATGCCATTGGGTCCGAAAGCCATCCCCTGCCTTCATCAGTGACAAGGGTTTCAGGTGGCCCAAAATGGGCAATCCAGCATCTTTCCAAACCAGCTATCAAGTTGGAGGTTTTCTCATCAGGCACCAAGGTTGCAGTCTGATACTTGGTGGCAGAGTCAACGCATGAAAGAACCGCAAACTTCTTGTCACCATCTTTGATCCAAAAAACATCAGCTTGAAGTCGTTGGTTGAAGTGGTCGCTTTTGGCCAAAGTAGATGGTGCAGTTTGATTGGGTTTCTTGTAACGCTGACATGCTGCACAAACATAGGAACCAGCAACTTGTAAAACATCTGGACTCGCACCTCTGGAGCTCAAAAGTTCAACCAAAGATGCCGTTGAAGGGTGACCAAGGTTTCTGTGGAGCTTCTGCACAACTCGAAGGGCTGCAGACTTGCCTTCGACATGGAGTTCCACGAGCTTGCCAACGTGCTCGGTGATCTCTTGCACGGCGTAGCCATGTTCCCAGTTGTGTGGGGCTTCAGGTGTTGCCATAGCTGCCGCAAGAGTTGATGCCATAGCGGGCTGGTAGTTCTCCATGTAGGTTGTGCGATGCACTTGAAATCCACGAAGTGAACCTTCAAGACGGCAATGTTGATGATCTCCAGGACATTGTCGATTCATGGCTTGGGCCACGGCCAGCTTCGTTGTCAAAAGAGTTGTCCTTTCGGACTGGCAGCCATTGCTCGTTGTCGTTCTTGCACATAGCGCCATACTGGCATTGGCTGAACTTGGCACGGTGACCTGGCAAGGTTGACAATGCGCTGGTGCGCCATGACAAAGCAGGTGTTGGCTGTTCCAAGTGTGCATGTCGGCCTTCATTGACCTGCTTCAAGTAGATTCTTCTGCAAAAACGCAGATGAACTCTGTGATGCCAGTCTCGTAGTTGTTGAAGTTGCTCTTGACGCTGCGGCGTCTTGGCATGATGTTCTGCATTGGAGACCAAGGTCCACAAGTGGGCGATAGAAACACTTCTTCAGGTTGGTGTTCATCCAGCAGCTTCATGAACTCGCGCTGGTGAGACTTGTAGGAAAAGTTCCAACCATTGTTGAGGCCGAAGTGCTGCGCATCCATGCCCAAGGAGGTGGCAATCTTGGTCATACGGCTTTCGCCACAGTAAACTTCCCACAGTTGCCTCGGTTGACGTAAGTCCATGTCGCGCAAGGTCTGTGAGATGTAGGCTTCTGCTGCATTGAGTTGGGTCAGCACTGAGGTGTCAAGAGACTTCAGCTGCTTGGTCTTGAGGACGTTGGAACCTTCAGGAATGACTGCATCATCAGTCACATAGATCTCTTCAGACTCCTTGAACTCGTCGAGGTTGTAGTTGGGGCCCTTCTCATCTTCAAGCACCAAGTCAAACTCAGGGTTGTTGATATCGATGGAAGGGTCGTAGTCCTCAGTCAGAGGCAGCAGGTATTCCATGTGTCTGCCCAAGGTTGCAGCGCGCCATTCACCATCATTGTATCGCAGTCGGTCGTTGAGGAAGTCCACAGTCAGTCCAATTGCTTTGGCAATGGGGCGGCCAAGCAACATCGGTGTTTCACCTCGAAGTACAAAGGCTTGGACCAGACCAAACTTGTTGTTGAGGTAGATCGGCAAGTGGACTGTCCAGTTGCTGACAGCCTTGTGATCGCCGCCAAAGTGAAAGGTGCGATCTGCCTTCTTGAACTTGATCTGGTTGATCGGAAATCCAAGCTTGCCCAGGTGCTCGAGGTATCGCATCAGCGGTCCCATGCCCGTGAGGAAGGACGAAGCTCCAGGGTCCATCATCGCGCAGTCAGGTCGTTCAGCTCCTGTGGAATCTTCAAACATCACCATGCCGCCTTCAAGTTGGAAGGCCATGCTTTCCACAGCTTGGCGTTTGCCATTGCCAGCTGGTGCTGACTTTGGAGTTGCTTTGGAACCCTGAGTGCAGTTGGCCGTCTTATGGGACGACGACCCACATCGCAGGCATGGAGCGTGAAGAGCAGCTTGAGCACGTCCTCGAGGATCAGGTGTTTTCATAGGTGGCCGTGGCGGCCTGAAGTTGTTCTTGCCTTTCCCCTTTGGCTTACCTTTCTTGCCCTTGCCCTTGTTGGACTGCAGCGGCATCTGAGTTGGTGACGTACTCGTAGAAGACGCTGAAGGGTCCAAGGCAACCACAGGGAGAAATCCACGGGCCATGCGCAAGTCGTTGAATCTCTTCCGGGCATCAAGGTATGAGGCATAGCAGGAGTCGTACTCGGCGACGTCGAACTCATAGTCCAGCACGGGGTCAGCGCCAGAAGCATCATCTTTGTAGTACGCCGCATCATAGTCAAACTCGTGGTCCTGCCAGTTGGTGTCGTCCTCGTCATACTCATAGTACCCATAGTCATCTTCATCCCAATCAGCCCAGTCATCAGCGACGGACTCCACGGTCTCATCGTCAGCGCAATAGCCACGACCTTTTCCAGAGGATCGCATGGACCATCGGGAGTTGGGAATTCCATGGCCACTCTTGTAGTCCTGACCCAAGATGGCAAACATCGACTCTTGGATCTTGGTTCTCTTCAGCGTGTTGGCCTGGGTCATCACCATCTGTTTCTGTTCTCGGCTAAGATTGGCACGGTTGAGCAAGTACCAACCTTGAACTTCAGCAGGAAGGACAACTTTGTGCTTCTCCAGGCGTCTCAGCTTCTCGTCATGCTCCGTCACAAACTGAAGCAAGGATTGGCCGGGACGTCGGCCTGCAGAGTCAAAGTAGGCCGTGAAGTCGGCTGGCATCTCAACTTTGTTGTCATACTGGAAGGCTGCATCGAGCTGTTTGAGGATATTCTCAAAGGCTTCAGGGTCGTTCACCTTGTTCAGGTCGAAGTCTTCGACGATCCTCCAGGCGGTGCCTTGGAGCGATCCAAGCAAGTTCAGCACAGCTTCCTGGGTTCTTTTCGAAAGCTCCATCTTCTTTGCATATATCACTATCCGCTTTCTCCATTCTCGATACCCAGTGGTGGTACCATCAAAGGTCGGGATGAAGCTATCCCGAAGGCTTTGAGTGTCCAGCTCGGCGCTAGACTTTCCATCACTCGAAGTTGCCATAGTGCTCGTCAAGAGCGGTCAGCTCGAGCAACAGGTAGAGGAAGTTCCCCTTGAAGGAATCCAGGGTGAGGTTGGAGGTTATGGTGAAGGTTAAGTTGATGAAATGGAGGTTGCGCAGTGGTGGAACGCAAACAGGCGCTCCGCTACCAATGTAGCTTTATCAGCAGAGCTAGCACTCACGAAGTTGCTAAACGGTGTTCAGTAGCAGTCGCTCACGAAGTCGCTGCTTTTTCCAGAGCCATTGCACAAGTAGATCGATCCCACCCACCTGGCGAAGGCGCATTTGACCCGGGGTGGCCACAAACGTGGTGGCTTCAGTGAATTGCACATGAAACTGACAACAAGCATTTGATGATGACAAACTGAACCATATTATTATAAATCATACCATAATTGTATACCCATTCTATCCCACAAAATCCCATATATTACTGCACGTTCCGACATGTTTTCACATGTTTCAAGATTTTCCCACATGTTCCCACATGTTCCCACATTTGCCCACATAATTGACATATGCCCTGAAAGTTAGGGGAGTCCAAAACTCTTTCGCAAATCCCATCCGCAGTCGCCACGCCACGATTGCGAAGCACTTTGACGCTCACGGTGCGTGGCATCACTCAGGGCGTTTAACTGCTTCCTGGGAACATCGGGACATCGGGAAAGGGACCGCAACGGCAACGCACCCGACATCGGATTCTGTTGGTAAACATCAATAGCTTCACAGGGGTTCTTTCTACTTCAATGGAGATATAGACCAAGTAAGTTAGATGCATTACTGCATTACTGTAACAATATCTATATGCTTAAATAGATGAAAATAGATGGATATACACACCAACTTGAACTTGTCTGTTTCATTTGGATGACTGTAAGATTTTCACCGAAAGATGTCGGTTGAAAATTGGCACCTCACCAACAAAGCTTGAATATTTCCAACAAGGGTATTTCGTG